TATTCAAAATAACCTATTATCCAATGATCTTAGCTTTAAGGGGAGCAATCACTGTCCAACTGGAACTCGCAGTGGGACCAGTTCAAGTTGATGGATATTAATCAAAATAACCCATAAAATGCTTTCCATACACCAATTTATCTCATGGATCATAATGTGACAGGTTATTTATCATTCTTGTGATATTTTATTGCTTTGTACATTTTTAGAGGGTTGGAGGTTCTATGCTGCTTGCTCTGATAAGCCTGCCATTGAACTACATCATTCTGCCTCTACAGCACCCCTGCTGCTGTGACATCACGCTGCATGAGGCAGAGCTGCACTCACTGACTGTCACTCACTGAGGCCATAAACAGCCAGACAGTAGAAAGCCTTTTGTGCTTCTCATTAGCTCAGCAATTAGCCACCATGCTAAAGCACACACCCTAAAAGGTATAGGCGCTAACTTCCTGTAGCTCCTTTAGCAGTGCCAGATTTCCTTTGGTGGGCCTGTTCCTGATTGCTCTAACGAGGGTTACACTACTTCTGTCAAAGCAAGAGTCTTTCTGTGGCTTTTTCAGCAAATAGCAGCCAAATGGCCCAAAGGTTCCAGCTGGGAGGGACTGAAGCTGGTCGAGTGAGATTGAAGCCACTTCAGCTCCGCCCAACTACTTGAACTAGTTCTACAGTGAGCAGCCTCTCGTCCACACAGGTTCTTTACTGCAGGTACTCACATGGACTGGCAGTTAGAAGTCGCCCCACCAAGGTGAAGCTCCAGATGCACACAGTCAACAGTAAGGGATAATACAGGATAGCAGAGTGGTAGTGGTATAAAACCGTATCTGTAGCAGCTCAGTGTACATAGATAACATAACATAGAATCTTCCAATAATAAGAAATAAAACAAAACATTAGATCTCCAACAGAAAACGGTACACTACTGAATCGTTGCTGTTATTTATTATGTCTGTGGGATCAGTTTCCTTTTATTAATGAAAAAAAGTCGTTAATAAAAGTAATTATTTAGATTTATGTTCAGGTTGCTGAGCTGTAAAAGTTGTTCTGCTTCAATTTCCTTTTTTGCCTAAAAATCTATTCAGTTTATTAAAATAGAAAGTTATGTATTAATTAAGAGCTAATGCCCATTAAGGTGTGTATTATCACAAATGAATACAGTGGCTTGTGAAAGTATTCGCCCCCCTTGAACTTTTTTGACCTTTTGCCACATTTCAGGCTTTAAACATAAATACACTGTTAAAACAAATTAAATTTACACTTTGAAAACACATCAGGTCTCAATGGGGAAAAAAAATCCTGCTGTTAATGTATCCTGATATGGACTGGGTGATGTGTTAGGAAATAAAGGATGCCGCACCATTTAATGGAAAATAAAATGATCAACCTACAGGGGGCTGAATTCAAAGACACCCCAAAAATTAGCAGAACGTTCTCCATGGCTTCTCCAGACCCTTTCACGTCTGTCACATGTGCTCAGGGTGAACCTGCTCTCATCTGTGAAAAGCACAGGGCGCCAGTGGCCGACTAGCCAATTCCGGTGTTCTGTGGCAAATGCCAATGGAGCTCCACGGTGCCGGGCAGTGAGCACAGGGCCCACTAGAGGACGTGGGGCCCTCAGGCCATCCTCATGGAGTCTGTTTCTGATTGTTTGGTCAGAGACATTCACACCAGTGGCCTGCTGGAGGTCATTTTGTAGGGCTCTGGCAGTGCTCCTCCTGCTCCTCCTTGCACAAAGGAGCAGATAGCGGTCCTGCTGACGGGTTGTAGACCTTCTACGGCCCTGTCCAGCTCTCCTGGAGTAACTGCCTGTCTCCTGGAATCTCCTCCATGCTCTTGAGATTGTGCTGGGAGACGCAGCAAACCTTCTGGCAATGGCACGTATTGATGCGCCGTCCTGGAGGAGTTGGACTGCCTGTGCAACCTCTGTAGGGTCCAGGTAGCGCCTCATGCTAACAGTAGTGACAGTGACCCTAGCCAAATGCTAAACTGGTGAAAAAGAGTCAGAAAAGATGAGGAGGGGGGAAATGTCAGTGGCCTCCAGCTGTAAAACCATTCCTGTTCTGATGGTCGTCTCGTTGTTGCCCCTCTAGTTCACCTGTTGTTCATTTCATGAACATCAAAGCAGCTGAAACTGATTAAATCTGCTACTTACCTGACCAAATCAAGATCCCACAATTTTAATTAACTTGATGCTTTACTCTGATTACAAAGTGTTCCTTTCATTTTTTTGAGTAGTGTATATAAAATTGTTCTTCTTGGTGAAGAATCTACAACAAGGATAACCTGAGCCAATTATAAGCTTTATAAGTTGGATGTTATCTTTATAAGCAGCAGTTTTCAGTTCTTTCTGTTTTTGCATTGTTGCAACCTCAGCTGTAGATCTCTGCAGGTAATCCAGGGTGATCATGGGCCTCTGGGCTGCATCTCTGATCAGTCTGAGAGTTTAGAGGGACGGTCGGGTCTTCATAGATTCCCAGTGCTCTGATTCCAATATTATCGCTGCTCAGAGCTCTTTGGGATGTTTAAAGCTGGGAAATCTTTATGGATCCAGATCTTTAAAGTTCTCCAGAGCAGCATCTCAGACCTGCCTGCTGTGTTCCATGTTCTTCATGATGCTCTCTGCGCTTTAAACAGACCTCTGAGACGATCACAGAGCAGAAGCATTTAAACAGAGACTTGATTCCACCCGGGTGGATTCTATTGATCATCAGTCGTTTAGGTCAATATTGGATCATTCATGGATCCTCACTCAACTTCTGGAGACAGATCTGCTCTGAAAGTAAAGGAGACCATTCATTTTACCACTCTTCCATTTTTAATTTGTTAAAAATTTTAAAATGTCCAATAGATTTCCTTCCACTTGTTGATTCATCACAAAAAATGAAAATTGTATCTGAATTAAACCTGAAATGTAGCAAAAGGGCGAAAAATACTAATTTCTTCTGCTATAACTTCATCAATTTTTAATCATGGACATCTTGGCATTATCATCCTTACAAAGGTCACTTATGAAGAAAAAACAAATTAATAATAAATCCCTTTATTCAAATTAATTCAGTTTATTTCTATAGCGCTAATTCACATCATGTCATTTCTATCTAAAGAAAACCAGCTGATTGCATCGACTCATTGACTCTTCAGCAATCCCTCACACTAAGCATGCTTGTAGCGACAGTGAAGAGGAAATTATTATTTATTGTTGCTATACATATATATATCTGCATGCATGTCCCTGCCAAAGGTTAGATCTGAAGGCCTGAATCGGTAAAAACACTTTAGAATTGATCTAGTTTGCTAAGAATTGACAGAAATTTCAGACTGAATATGCAAACGTGGTTGAGGCATAACCCAAAGACGTTCAACTGTAATTCCAGCAAAAGGCAGTTCTAGAAAGTACCGACTCACTCTTTCCAAATATCTTCTTGTAAAGGAAGACAGGAAAGGTTTGCAAAGAAAA